ACAGAAGGTCCTCAAGAGATCGGAGGAAAACTCACCACCTCTGTCAGAGTGCAGACGCAGGACAGGAAGATCCGTCCGGAAACGGCGGCGGAGCTGGAGACGAACCGTGCGGATCCAAGGGATCAGAACAGCAGGGACCTCACCCTTGGTGCGCAAGGGGAAGACCGTGGTGTAACGCGAGTAGTCGTCGACAACCAGCAAAAAGTACCGCTCACCGCCCTGACCACGAATGCGGGCTGGGCCCCACACGTCCAGGTGGAGGGTCTCCAGAGGAGCCTCTGTCGGGGGGAACGAGGAGGAGTGAGGAGCGGCGCGCTGCCGCCCCTCGACGCAAGGAAGGCAAGGCGGCGCAGGCGAGGCAGGGAGGGGAGGGAGGGACCTGGGAAGACCGGACACAAGGAGGCGACGGTGCATGCCACGAAGGCGTGGCAAGGAGGGGTGACCCAGGCGGTGGTGCCAGAGAAGAGTCTGGTGCGACAGGGAGCGACACTCACAGGCGTGGGCCACCAGACCTGACGCAGACACCTGACCGACAGCAGCTACCTGGGGAGACGCAGTGGTCAGTGTGTAGAGACTCGACCCCGGCCGACGGGTGAACGTAGCCAGGTGACGGCCGGTCCTGGAGCACGTGCAGATCGCCACACGCTGTCCGCCAGGGGTAAAGGTGTCAACCCACTGATCCTGGAGGACAGCGTTGCTCACCAGGTTTGTCGAGAACGAGGGGAGGTGGAAACCCGACAACGAGCCAGACGGAACCGCCGGACAAGGGAGGACAGTGGTGGACTGGGCAAGGACTGGGCCCCCAGAGGGGTCAGCCAAGGAGACTGGGACCGGTGCAGGAAGCGGTGTGAGCTCAGTACTGTCACGAAAGAAGCAACGGGAAGCACCTGAGTCAAGGGTGAAGGTGTGACAGGCCTCAGCCGGTGCGGTACCTGAGAGAGGAGTCTGTGTGGGTGCTGTACCTGAGAGAGCAGACTCGAAACCAGCCGGGACAGCACTGGGGGGAGCAGGTACAGGGGGCACCATACCAGAGAGAGCAGACTCACTAGTACCCAGGGCAGCAGGCTCTATACCTGGGTCAGGCGGCACACACAAGTAACAGTCTCCCTCGGCACTAACAGTCAATGCATACATGGCAGCAATAATAGCATCATAGTCAAGAGCAAAGACATCAACACCAGCCCTCATGAGCTCAGCCCAGCGGGGGCGCTCAACATCCGCACCCATCTCCTCACGCCAAGCGTCGTCAAGGCGGGAGAAGCAGCGGTACGGGGTGTGGAACCTCCCACACGTCTGTCCCTTGCGGTCACCTGTGCGAATGACATAAGAACAGCGGGCACTGGCCCCCGACGTCCCACGCTGAGCAAGCCACTCACGAAGCTGCTGGGTCGTCTGGGGACGCTGCTGCTGCTGGGAGCTCTGGCCCGAGCCAGTGCCTCCACTCCGACCTCCGCCGCCACCACTACCACCGCTCCGACCGCCACCACCGCCACCACCGCCACCACCGCCACCGCCGCCACCGCCGCCGCCGCCACTACTGCCACTGCTTCCTCCGCCGCCCCCGTCTCCACCACCGACCCCACTCCCACCAGCGCTCCCGCCACCGCTCCCTCCAGCACCGCCTCCCCCCCCACCTCCCCCACCTCCTCCCCCCCCAGCGCCACCACCACCACTTTTGCCCCCCTTGCCCTTGCCGGTGCGGCGCCTCCCACCAGGAGTAGAAGCAGCGCCAACAGACTCAGCACCAAGGAAGTCAACAGCAGCAGCAGCAGCGTAGGAGGGAGCGAGGGGAGAGGGAGAACACCCCTCAAAGATGGGGGTGCGAGGAGCGCCACGAGCAGCACCGACAGCTACAATGCTCTTTTCGGCCGCGAGCAGGTGCTCCTCTAGGAGGGCGACTGTGAGCTCAGTGGGACAGCGAGCAAGGAAGTGGTCTCGAACTGAGCGGAGGGTGTCAGGGAGACGGGTGACTATGAAGTGGAGTGTCCAGTACAGTGGAGGGGGGTTCTTAGCGCAGAACTCGGTGGGAAGAGCGGCACGCAGGCGAGCATCACTAGTGCGAAGGTGGGTGATAAGATCGGCGACTGTAGTAAAGGTGGACAGATCGGGGAACAGGTACGGCAGCATGAGGCGGCTAAGCTCGGCTGTGGCAGGCGAGGAGTAGCGAGCGACGACAGCGTCGTACAGGGCCTTAGCGGATTTGCAGTCGCCAAAATGCTCTAGCTCAGCTAACGGCAGGTGACTGCGAATGGCTAGGCGAGCAGCTGCGTCACGAGTCTGCCAGTGGGAACGAACACTAAGCTCAGCTGTGGCAGGAGGGGCAGGCGCAGCACCAGACGCGTAATCATAGAGCGACACATGCTCCTTGCTATCGCTCAGGAGGAACAGCTGCAGGTCATCTAGCCAAGCGGTGAACCGCACAGGGCGGCCCTCAGCATCGAACGACAGTACGCGGATGGAAGCCATAGCGACAGTGTGACAGAGTAACGCAAGCTGCCGCAGCAGGGGAAGGCGACTGTGCACGGATAGAGAGCAGCGGGCGAGGCTGGCGCTACGGGCAGGCGGCGCTGCAAGCGGTCAGCGCGACGGGAGGGCGACGCTGCGAGCGGGCAGCTCGGCGGACGGGCCGGGAAGCGGGCAGCGCGGCGGGCAGGCGGCGCTGCAAGTGGGCAGCACGGCGGGCGGGCGACGCTGCGAGGCGGGCGGGCCGCGAAGCGGGCAGCGGGCGGGCGGGCGGGCTGCGAAGCGGGCAGCGGGGCGAGCGGGCTGCGATGCGGGCGGGCCGCGAAGTGGGCAGCTAGCGGGCGGGCGGGCTGCGAAGTGGGCGGGCCGCGAAGCGGGCAGCGAGCGAGCGGGCTGCGAAGCGGGCGGGCCGCGAAGCGGGCAGCGAGCGGGCGGGCGGGCTGCGTAGCGAGCGGGCCGCGAAGCGGGCAGCGAGCGGGCGGGCGGGCTGCGAGCGGGCGGCTCGGCGAGGGGCGCGCGAGGGCGCTAGTGAGGGGCGCGCGAGGGCGCTAGCAAGGGGCGCGCGAGGGCGCTAACGAAGGGGCGCGCGAGGGCGCTAACGAAGGGGCGCGCGAGGGCGCTAACGAGGGTGCGCGCGAGGGCGCTAACGAGGGGCGCGCGAGGGCGCTAACGAAGGGGGGCGCGCGAGGGCGCTAACGAGGGGCGCGCGAGGGCGCTAACGAGGGCGCTACGAGGCTAGGGCACGGGGTAGCGTGGTAACCGCATGCGAGCGGTGGTGGGCCCTTAAAAAAAAAACGGTCGGTAGGTCCTAGGGACCTCCTGCTCTGAATACCATGTCAGAAGAACTAGGCAAGAATGGTGCATTGAATGAAACAGTTGGGTACAAGTAGCAAACCCTAGTTGGGGTTGTACCCCATATTGGCTACCCCACTACAGCCTACAAGCATAATGCAGTTTAACACCCAGTGGCTGATGTCGTCCTTGCAAGCTATGCGCAGTGACTGTTCAACCACGGAGTACCCATGTTGGAATGGTAGGTGGAACCACAAAAAAAAGTCCACAGAAGCGAGGCCGGAGTTTGGATGGTAGGTGAGACAGGTTCAAGTTGCGTGTGTCGAGAAGCACCTGATCTCCGACTGCTACAGAGTGATCTCGTCAATGTCGATCGGCATACTACTTCTGGGAGTTCTGCATCGTGGTGAGACGTCGCTGAGTCTTCTCCCATAGCTGCTGCATGGTGGTGACGAAGTCGTGTGCGGCCTGGACGTATACTGGTGTGTTTCGTTGCTTCGAAGTGAGTGGTCCATGCAGTAACTGTTCAACCTCGCTTCTGTGGACCTTTCTCTGCCGTTGCGATCTCGCCGTCCACGGAGTACCCATGTTGGAATAGACCCTTGAGCAGAGGGTTCATCCCATCGAGCTGGATGCCTGCTACATGACCTGGGCGGCTCAACGCGTCTGCTTTGTTGTGTAGCTCGGGTTTGTAGACGATGTCGTAGTGGAAGTGAAGTCACCCACCGCACCTGTCGTCATGAGAGCGTCGGCTGCGACTTCAGGTATTTGAGGCTGCAGTGGTCAGTATAGACTGTGGTCTTGGCTCCCTCTAGGTAACACCTCCACGCCTTGAAGGCCACAATTATAGCTAAGGCTTCCTTGTCGTGTATGGGGTAGTTCAGTTCTGCTCCGTGTAGCTTCTTACTGAGGTAGGCGATAGGCTGTAAACCGCGTCTGTGATCCTGCATCAGTACTGCTCCAACTGCTTGGTCACTAGCGTCTGCTTCAACTACGTAGTCCTTGTCTGGGTACAGTAGGATGAGTACTGGCGCTGTAGTCAGTGCTGTCTGTAGCTGCTCCATGGCTTGCTGATGAGGAGTATCCCATTTGAAGGGCGTATCCTTTTTCAGTAGGTCGGTTAGTGGCGCTGCTATCTTAGCGTACTGCGGCACGAACCTGTTGTAGTAGTTGGCGAAGCCTAGGAACTGCTGTAACTCCTTCACGTTCTCCGGGACTTTCCACTTCTTAACGGCTTCGATTTTTCGCGGGTCCACGTGTACGCCTTCGGCACTCACCATGTGCCCGAGAAACTGCACCTTCTTCAGTGCGAAGTCGCTCTTCGACAGCTTCACGTAGAACTTATTCTTCCGCAGGATTTCGAACACCTTCCGCAGATGCTCCACGTGCTCCTTCATGTTCTTGGAATAGATGAGGATATCGTCCAGATACACCACTACGCACCCGTCCACCAGGGGCCGTAGGATATGGTTCATCTCCGCCTGGAACGTCGCTGGTGCGTTTGTCACAGAATATGGACTGCCATGAGCTGCGGCATCATGAGCTGCCATGAACTCGGCAGTATGGACTGCCATGAGCTGCGGTGGCTGCAGACGTACTCGCGGCGGGAGATACCACCGTCGCGAAGGATGCGCTCAAGGGAGTGCGGAAGATCGCCAGGTCGCTCGCCTAGCAGAGAGGCGGATCGGGCAGATTGGATGGCGACCAGTGACGGACTGCACGGTGAAGGCGAGCTCGGTCTGCAGATGAGATCGGCGCCAGGAACCCAGCCGTCAAAGAGCGATTCCTGGGATTTGGCAAAAGGCCAGCAGGGCGCGGGAGTAAGGCGGCAGGAGGACACAGAGGAGACGGAGTCGCTGACGTCAGCAAACGAGGCCGACGGCGAGGAGTCGGTGGAGGATTATCAAAAGGACGTGGGAGCAGATCACTCGCCGGGCAGCATGAGCAAGGCAGGCGAGAGGCGTCACGGAGAAAAACGCGAAGAGCGAGGGAAGGCGACGGGATCAGATCGCTCAGCAGACGAAGTGCGTGGGCGTGGTGAGAGGCGACGCGGGGGCGCGGAAGCAGATCGCGTGCCAGAGGAGGTGCGCGGAGGTGACGTGAGACGCCAAGGGAGCCGCGCAGATGCAGATCGCGCACCAGAGGAGGTGCGCAGAGGTGACGTGAGACGCCAGGGGAGCCGCGCAGATGCAGATCGCGCACCAGAGGAGGTGCGCGGAGGTGACGTGAGACGCTAGGGGAGCCGCGCAGATGCAGATCGCGCACCAGAGGAGGTGAGCGGAGGTGACGTGAGACGCAAGGGGAGCCGCGCGGATGCAGATCGCGCACCAGAGAAGATGCGCGGAGGTGACGTGAGGTGCCAGGGGAGCCGCGCGGATGCAGATCGCGCACCAGAGGAGATGCGCGGAGGTGACGAGAGGCGCCAGGGGAGCCGCGCGGATGCAGATCGCGCACCAGAGGAGATGCGCGGAGGTGACGTGAGGCGCCAGGGGAGCCGCGCAGATGCAGATTGCGCACCAGAGGAGGTGCGCGGAGGTGACGTGAGACGCCAGGGGAGCCGCGCGGAAGTGGCATGAGGCGTCGCGGGAACATGGCGGCAGATCACGCGGCAGCTGGGCGTCGAGAAGATGAGGGTCGATGTCATGAACCCGCAGAAGCGTATCACTCGCCCGAGCCAAGGCAAGGCCATGAGAGAAGGAGGCGCATGGCGATGGGCGGACGGCGATCGCCGGAGAGGCAGGAAGAGGAAGCAGAAGAAGATTATGAGGAAAGGCGCGAGCTGCGCTCGCCAGCATGGGGGTCGGAGCCACCAGGGGAAGGCGCGGGTCAGAAGTGGTGACCGTTCGTCGCCAGGCCCCTCAGGAGCAGATGCAAGAGCGAGCCGGGAAGGAAAGGAGGTGTACCCATGAGGAAGGGCAGAGGCTGCGAAGGATTTGGGCGGAGAGGCAAGGAGGCGACAAGAGAGAGAGGGACGAATCAGCAAGGGCGAGGGAGAGCGCTATCGCCGTGAGCTATCACCTGGTGAGGAGGCTGGAAGAGAGGACCATAGCCGCCAAGAATGGGGAGAGCGGGAGAGGCGTCGCAGGGAATATTCGCCTAAAAAGGAAGACGGGCAGAGGGGAGGTTCAGAAAGGCGAAGGGAGGCGTATGAGAATGAACGGGGAAGAAGCCCGAGTCCGGTGTGGTATAGGAGGCCGCAGCATTCATGGGAGGGCTCCAGGGAAGCGAGGGCGGCTAGGGAGGGCATCAACCGCATCTTGTATGGGACAGGAGAGAGGGGTAGGGAGACAAGGAAAGCAGCTGAAGAGATGAAAGGGAGAAAGAGAGGGGAAGAAACGAGGGGGAGAGGTGAGGAATAGCGCAGAGTAAGGGAGAAGTTGAGGGGAGGAGAGAGCGAAGGTGGAAAAGAGTGGTTCAGACAAGAGCACCAGCGAAGTGGTGAGGGGAAGCATCAGCAACAGGGATTCCGCCCTGATGAAAAGGATACAGTAAAGAGGGAAGGAAAGTCAGAATACAGTACGGGAAAGGATGAGGAGTTTACATAGGCACGATAGGCCATGGGGGGCGGGGGGAAGCTTAGCAGGAGCAAGAGTGGCCAGAGAAAATATGGAGCAGGTGCTGTATGATGCAAGGGAGAGGAGCAAGGGATCGGAAGCGTGGGGCAGAAGGAATAGTCAGACGGGCGGAGGGGTGTTGATGACATGGGAAACGGGGAGGTGGAGAGCCATGGAGCTGCCAAAGGTGGAGGTACCTGTCAGATTCACAGGGAGCGCGGGGACAGGGACGGGACTTAAGAATTATCTCATGCAGATAGGCAACGTGAAGTATCGGTGCGATCGGAGCGGGATGGATCCAATTGAGTTCTTTCTAAGCTTATCCAATACCTTGGGAGGAGATGCAGAGACGCTGTACCGGATGAAGATGACGGAATGGTTGAGACGGGCGGAGGAGGATGACGAGGACCCGACCTCGTTGTTCCTAGAGCGGCTAAGGAAGCAATTCCCTGGGCACACGGCTGACAGGATAAGAGTTTCAAGAGTTTAGGCGAGGGGAGAGTGAGTCACTGCTAACGTACTTCGGAAGGTTGGTTAACTTGGCAGAAGACGTGGTATGCACAGACAGCAGCATGCCAATTAGTAAGTTTTTGGGAGGCCTGGATGAAGGGCTGAGTGGTGGGTTGCGCATGCGAGTGTATGAGTTGGGGGCAGACGCTACACTAGAAGAGGTGTTCGAGCTAACGGAGAGGGTGGAGCTGGCACAGAGGCGGTACGAGGCGTACCTGCCAAAGGTACCAGAGAAGAGGCAGCCCACGTGGGCTACGGCGATGATACCTGAGGACGGGGACAGGGAGGAGCAGTGGCAGAAGAAGTGACCAGAGACACGTACATGCCACAGGTGCGGGCAGGTGGGGCATATCAAGAGAGATTGCAAATCTGTGATGTATGCGGAAGGCCTGGACACTGCCGGAAAGACTGTTCGAAAGCACCGACCTGTGAGGAGTGTGGGAGAAGGGGACATCAGGGCAGGGAATGCTACCAGGGAGCAGGTGGACCAAAGAGGTCACCCGGGGAAATTGAGGACGAGATCAGAAGGTTAAAAGCCCAAATACAGGCACTGGGAGGAAAGACAGAGAGGAAGGAAGGGGAGGAGGAGGAAGAGGAGCAGAAGCCTGAGCACTCTTTTGCGGTGCTGCGTGGCCATGAAGATATGAGGCTGTGCAGTGGGGGCAGGTACGGACGACGGGAGCAGGTGAGTAGGGTGGGGGCATGGGCGTGTATGTTAGTAACACTAGCAGCAGCAGGAGCGGAGGAACGGGACGAGCAGGTGGGGGCAGAAGCGTGTGTATCAGCAGCAGCAGGAGCGGAGGAACGGGATGAGCAGGTGGGGGCAGAAGCGTGTGTGCAAGTAACACTAGAAGCGGAAGAGAAGGTCAAGAAAGTGGGGGCATGGGCGGGTGAACCAGTAGCAGCAGGCACTGAAGGGAAGGACGAGGAGGTGAGGGCAAAGGCAGCCGCAGAAGGGCTCGGAAGGACGAGAAAAAGGGGGGAGGGGCGTGCAAACCAGCAGCACCAGAAGCGGAAGAGGAGCAGGTTGGAGCAGGGCCGTGTGCACTAGCAGCAGCGGAAGCAGAGGAGAAGGAGGAGCAGGTGGGGGAGGAGCGTGTGTACCAGCAACAGCAGAAGCAAAGGAGAAGGAGGAGCAGGTGGGGGCGGGAGCATGTGTACCAGCAGCAGTAGAAGCAGAAGAGAGGGAGGAGCAGGTGGGGGCAGGGAGTTTGTGTACCAGCAGCAGCAGAAGCAGAGGAGAAGGAGGAGCAGGTGGGGGCAGGAGCGTGTGTACCAGTGGCAGCAGCAGCGGAAGGGCAGGACGAAAAGGTTGAGGCATGGGCATGCGGGCCAGCAAAGGAAGAAGCCAAGTGTTCGGAGAGGGAGGCAATGACCAGGAAGGAGAGGGAAGTCGTACTCATGACAGAGATAGCGGGAATACGAGGGGCTGAGAATTGCGAGGCACGGGCGACAGTCAGGGCAAGGTTCCTGGAAGAAATGCTGCCGGCAGCCCTGACGAACCTGCATACAGAGCAGATGAGAGAGGCGCACAGGCAAGAGGAGTGGCAGCAGCAAGCCGACAACAAGAACAAAGGCAGCAGTGGAAGTGAGATAGAAAGTGTCCCTGTGGAGGAGGAAGAAGGATTCTTTGGGAATGGCGCCGGGCACGCAGAGAGGGCAGGCGAGGAATCGGAGGGGTCCGAGATCGCTGGTGCTGGAAGGGAGAAGGGGGGGAACAGAGCGTGGGCCACCAGACCTTCACGGCAGTGGGGCAGAGCAGCCGACCTCAGCTGGGAAGTCCTGTGACTCGGGCCTGAGCAGCTCGAGCACGAGCACAGGAGGGGGCAGGTAGTAGCTGAGGCAAGACAGAGAGGGCAGCGCTTAACATCGGGACATGGAAGGGCGGACGGGAGAGGTGAGTATGAAAGGAATGAAGGAGGCAGGAGAAGTGGCTAGCAGAGGAGATTATGACACGTTGCAGAGTCCGAACGGCATCACCAAGTATTCGTAGGAGCCGTATCTCGTACGGAACGCCGTCTTGTGGATTGAGTTGTCCGCCATCTTGATCTGCCAGTAACCCGACCGTAGGCCTAGCTTCGAAAAGACTGTTGCACCACGCAGTTGGTCCAGTAGGTCGTCTATGCGCGGTATGGGATATTTGTTTTTAACTGTCTGTTTGTTCAGTGCGCGGTAGTCGATGCACATCCGTAAACTGCCGTCTGGTTTTGGGGTGAAGAGAACTGGTGCTCTATAGGGAGAGGTGGATGGGCAAATCAGTTGTTTGACCAGTAGATACTCGAGATGTTTTTCATGTCTGTCAGTTCGGTCGGACTTAGTCGGTATGGTGCACGTGAGACGGGTTTCGCACCTGGTTCCTCCACGATCTCGTGCTCGTGGGTGCGTGCTGGAGGTACGCCTGCGGGTAGGTCGTCGGGCATTATATCCTTGTACTGCTCCAAGACCTCATTTACTGCTGCAGGTAGCTCGGAACTCGGCTTCTCCTCCTCTGCTGCTGCCATGACCAGTGCTAGGTAACCCGTGTTACTCTCGTTCACCGTCCGTTCGAACCGTGCCAGTGTCGTTTCAGGAACGTCCCCTGTATCCGTCCAGCTTCGCAGCTCCACTCGTTTCCCGTTGTTGTAGATGCACACTTTGCTGTTGACCCAATCGATTTCGAGGTTGAACCGCTTCAGAAAATCTCTCCCCAAGATGAAATCTAGCCCTTTGATGTTCGTGATCGGTAGTGTCGGCTTCCACCTCAATGCACCTATATGCAGTTGATGTTTCGCCGTGGATGGGAAGCTTCGTACCGTCCACTATCATTGCTGAAAATTGAGTCTCCTCCGCCTTCTCTCCAATTTTCTCCAACGTCCCGCGGACACACACCAAGTGGGACGCACCGCTGTCAATCATCGCCTGGAGGCGTCGCCCGTTGCAGGTCACCTCGAGGAGTAGTGGTTGTCAGAATCCCAGCCACTAACCACTGGGATAAAAGGGCTTGTTTATATAGCGGGTGAGTGCGCCCATAACCCCCCAGGCCAACGTGCCTGTAACCCTTCCCTAGGATCATCGGGGATCCCAAGTGGACCTCTGACAGTGGTTGTTGCCGCTCCGAGTAGCCGTAGATGGTCTCGCTTATAGGATCATAGGGTACGTCGAATAGGTCACCCCTTGGTCCTGCGCTCGAAGCTGCTGTCTCAATATCAGTTTCCAACTGAGCAGGGTTAGAAGGATTTATCTGTGGCCGATTCAGCTTCGTCTTGGCATAGAACCTTCCCCTAAGCCGTTGCAGCTGTGTAGGCTTCTCCTGTGGGCAATGGGGAGCCTTAACACTGTGCTGCGGGGAGAGAAAATTAACTCCTTGGAACGCACGACCCGTTTCAACGCTCCGGAGTGGTTTGCCCAACTTCTCAGGTACCTGAATAATCTTTAAGGGCTTTTTCTTAGCCTCTAAATCTCCCCTGAAGGCTTGAAAATCACGAGAAGTAATATTCTTAGTTAAAGTATCTTTATAGGATAACTTTAACGAA